CTCTCTTCCCCCAACCCTCTTCCACACTAGTGTTTGACACCTTAGTGGGTGGGTTACTATGGGAACTAGAGCCAGCTGGAATTTCACAAAAAGGCCATAAGTAGTTAGAGAAGAAGCTGTGTTTGATGGAAGAACTTTTTGTACTGGGGCAGTTTTTTTGTCCTCGGCTGAGATGATGAACTGCCTGGAAATTAGAAGGACCAGGTCACCTAGTCATCTGGACCCTCACTCCAGGCCACAACTGTTTGACCACAAATAATAAAAAAAAAAAAACCCTGACAACTGTTTTTATAAAGTTTTAATCACGTTAGCATTTCTGCTAGTTGCCAAATCATAGCAGTGTTTGGGCAGATTCTAACTTTCCTGGAGCTTCCACTGCTAAATATCACCAAAGACTGGAGGTCAGCTGAAGAACCAGAGGTCCAGGACCTACCATTAGATCCTGATACTGTGGTGTCTACCGTTTAGCCCCGGTAGTTGTTCCTGAACCTCTACACTTCTACCAGAACAGAACAGACTGGTACCTTTTACACTCGGATCAATAACTGGAACCGGATCAGTTCTTATCGTGAGTTCCAGCTTGTTTACAGGCCACTGCTGGAAGAGACGAGCTGTTGTTGTGCTTCTTTCCTACTGACCTCTGTGAAATTACTGTCACAGCAAAAAAAAAAAAAAGAAAAAAAGATTCATTTTCTTGATCCGCGTTCCAAGATGTGGGGGCGAAAACTAGAATCTACCAATTTTCCGACGGTGTTACCTACGGTGTGTATCTCACAGTGGAAACTGCCAAAGCAAAGTTAATTTCAGCCGGATGAACCGACCAGCCTCTGCTGGTACTGTACGTTACCATTGAAAGAACTGAGGCAGGATTCTGAGTCTGGTCTCGACGGTCGTCCCCGCTCCCATCACCAGCTTCATTTCTAGTCTCTGTTTAAACGCGGCGGTGCCTCTACAGCAGGTGGGCCTCGATGCGGAGCCAGTGCAGTCCCTGTCTGATGTAGCGGACCAGTTCTGTCATGCTGCTCTGCTGACTCAGCGGCTCCATGACCGAGTCCAGCTCCTGGAAGAATTCTACGGCAGGAAGACAACACGATTACAGTGGCGCCTTCCGGGGGGAATATTTAGGGGCGGGGTCAATGAGGGTGAGTCAAAAAGTTGACAGATGTTTTCATTTCCAAAGATTTCAGATCTGAATCACTAGTCGCTCAGATATTTATTGCAGTATTTATTAGTATTAGTGTGTATTATTATATTTTTGTCCAGTTCTGAGCTGTGTTTTTATTTGATCAAGTTTGAAAAATAGAGCAAATATTCTAGAGTTTTCTACACTCTGTCTATTGAGCTCAATCAGAGGTTCGTGGTTCTAATCCCGGCACTGGGAAATCTCTGCTGTACTGACAAACTGTGTCCTTCAACGTGAGTCACTGGATCGGTACATGTTTTCGGGAACGAGTACAGTGTGAGTTTTCGACTTTTTACTTTGACTCACCCAATATGGACAACAACCAAAACCGTTTTTTGCTAATCAAACACTAACAGTAGAACTCAGGGGGGAAAAAATCATATAATTATGATTACTGCGCAGCCATGTGGTGGGTCCGCTGTGGTATAGCTGCACTGCCCAGTGAGCCCGCCGCCCCCCCCGACCCCCCTCCTCCTCCACTGCTTGCCGGAGAAGGGCAGAGTGAGAGCGGAGACGGAGTGCCGTTCACCCTTCGTTACAGATAGAGACAAGAGTAAAGTTGACAGGAACCTGTTTGTTCGTAAACCTCTGACACCGTGTGGCCACAGGAGGGATATCTCTTTGTTTATGTTTAAAGCTTGGACTGTGGAGCTTTTCTTCATCACTTCAGTTGTTTACTGCAATATTCACAGAGGTCACTGAGGTCAAACCTGTAGGTTGTAATTTGCTAATGAAACGTTGGACTTTTGCTGTTTTTTCTTCTGTTGATCAGTGTTTTTCTGATTGTCTGACATTCAGATTTTTTTCATGATAAATATTGAGCTGTAACACAGAACTATTAATTTACCTCATTTATCGTTTTATTTCGAAAATACACTCAGGCTTCATGATATCAATATCCATTGCCTTAGAAGCCACGACCAAAGGGGAGAGAGAGATGCTACTGCCCACTAGTGGCCAACTGGTCCTTGATGCAAAAAAAGGTTGGGGGTCGTATTTAAATTCTAGCCAGGTTATATTTAATATATTCCAGTCAGTGACTTGATCGAAGACCACGGACGACCGGTCCTTCACAGAAAACAGGAGACTGTGTTTAATCTGAACTACAGGAAACACAAGGAAACCCTGACATTCAGCAGTAACAGGTTGAGAAGTTCAGACTAACTCGGTCTGGACGCGGCTGTACTCTTCACCGCGGAGCCATTTGTCAAACTGCCCCTACCTTGCACAGGGAGCTGTGCTGCCCTTGTGATGATGTAATGTCTGTGATGTGGCCTTGACCTTCGTGGACCTGATGACTGGAGCCTGCTCTGTGTTACACACACACATACACACACCACACACACACACGCCGAGCTCCAGTCCTGCTGTTGTGCAGCGTCAGAGCTGTCCAAACTCGTTAGCATCCACGCCCTCCTCCTCCTCCTCGTCTTCCTCCCCCTCCTCCTCCATCCATCATCACTCCCTCCATCACTTCCTCTCACAGAACACTCAACAGCTCTTTCGCTCTTCTGCCTCTTACATCCACAACAAATCAATCCCTCCATTTGCTTCCTGAGGGGTTTGTTTGAGCAAGTGGCTGTCAGGGCTGCCTGGTGTTTGGCAGCACAGCTCCAGTGGATTGAAAATCCCTAATTACCTACATTATATGAATGAGAAGTGTGAAAAATACTCTGTGTGAGAGAGAGTGTTTACAGTGCACTTACTTTCCGTTGGTCCTCCAGGGAGAAGGTGCTTGGTGGGAACTTTTGGCAGAATTCTGGAGAAAAGACATTTAGTCGTTTATTTTCTAAATATCTCAACTATAAAACTGTGAAGGTGAATTCCACTACACTCACAAACACACACGTCTCAATTAGAATACTCACTCCAGGACACTACAGGACTCATCCTAGTAATTTGTTTTTTATACCAGATACAGCACTTGACTAAAAAAAACTCAACCTTTTTTCTCTGCTTTGGTCTTAGAACGTTGAAGGAATCGACCCTGTGACTCCTTCTAGATGACAACCTCTGCTCCACTGTGGCGCCATCATTCAAATTATAATACTTTACATTCATATCACGGCTAAGGCTGGGGAACTGATGCTATATTGATATGTGATCAGATAACCCATGCAATCCCACCTTTTTCAGTTCCCTAATTTGTGGTACACACTCCAGCACAGTAGGTGGCAGTAATACACCTAAATTGTGATTTTGAGCCCTAAAGAAGATGTAAAGGTTTCATGGACAGATTTAATAGAACATGAAGGTTTGTTTAACAGTGATGAAAATGTTTTGACATCATTGCTTGTCGGACATTTTTTTTTTTTCAGCATCCTGTTTTCCATGTTTTCTAATTATCCTGGTACTTCAAGTCTGCAGTATCACCTCACACAGACACAAGTACAGTAGATGAATACTGCGATACATTCATTTTGAGTAGAACGACATACTGATAAATATTTATTTTACACACATTAACTAGTCCTGCCAGTAATTAATTAATGAAGGTAGACAAAACATCATCCGTCTGTTCAATAATACACCACTGTTTACAGCACACGTTCACTTGGCCTTTGTGTACGTACAAACTGAAATTAAACTGTAATTACATTTGACTCTGAATCTGACCCCTGTGATTGGACGGTTTGTGACACTTTATTTTCCATAATTAAACACTTTGGTTGGTTTGTAGTTTGTTGTTGTTTTTTTTTTTCTTCCCCGTCTCCACTGAGCTAAACCCTCAGTCAGCCGTTTCCCACAAATCCAATGCAATCATCGCCAACGCGGCGCTGCGATAATCACATCCCCAGTAATTAATTTAACTGAGCATTGTTAATCAAAACAAGCACATTAAACCTGAACAATCCAGGCTAATGATTGATGGAGCTAATTAATACATTTATTCTACAGTGGAAAAAAAAAACTCAACTTAATAATAATAACAAAATGAATGCACAGACTAAATGAGTGGCAACTGACTAAATTACTGACTGTATATGAAGTCGACGTCCGAGTGTGTGTGAAAATCCGTGTGTGTCTTTGTGTTCTCCTTACCTTAAAGTACTCCATGAGAGACCGCGAGTACTTGACAGCATGGTCTTTTTTCAAATGGAACATCCTCAGATACAGCAGAGACAGACAGCGGTTACTATGGAAACAAAACCATTAGGAGGCAGATGAATCCTCTGTACAAACACCCCACAAAGCTCCAGCCCTAATATTATTTTCCTGGACCTTAAACGCACCACACACATTCTTTGGCGTTAGGGATGGTCAGAAAAGTAAAATATGGAAATTAATTCAAAAAAATGGTAAACGGTACCAACACCAGACCGTGTTAGTGACGGTACGCTCTCAGTCAGAGATGTTTTTATTCATTCAGGCAGACTGAGGCGCTTTTATGACCTTGGTGGCTTCAGTGTTGGGCTGGAACACCTGAGAACCGTCTGTACATTGACATAATGCACATAACACTGTCGGTGTGACGTCGTTTACACAAAAAAATACTGTAATTACATCTGAAGCAGCATTCCATTTTTATTATTTATTTTATTATATAATATGTATTATAACCATTTATTTCGATTTCTATTATTATATTATTTTTAAAATTTTTAAATATATACAATATAATTTTTTACATATTCATATTTGATTTTGTATTATTATTACTGTTATTAAAGCATAATATTAGTTATTATTAATAATATTATTAAATACAAAAAATTGTTGTTATTATTATTATTATTTATTGCAATTAATAGCACAACATTAGTCATTATTATTATTATTATTAAACACAAAAATATCATTAAAATATTATTACAATAAATACAATGCAAATGTATATGGTGATGATAAAAAAATAACAAACATATAAATAAAAATAAAAACATTTAATACATACATATCTAATGCCAAAGTTCAGTCTTGACACAGACATATAGGTATGTATGTATGCTTTCCAATCAGCCTTTCACATTTTATACAATTAATGTTTGACAGAAATACACAAAAAAAAAATCAAATTCGTACCACAGCACGGCGAGCTTCTTCTCGGTGACGGAGGCCGAATGGCTGCTGAAGTTCTTCAGCCTCATGGCGTACCTGTCAGAGAAACACATGAACTCGTGCTGCTGTTCCCAGTGATATATGAGAGTCAAACACAAACACACTTCATTTTTCATTATGATGAATTCACTTTAACTCCAGTTGAGTTTTAATTTAACCAAATCAAGGTCACACTTATCCAAAGAGCTGCTCTTCCCTGAGAAAAAAAAAAAAAAAAACCTGTTCAGGAGTTAAATGGCTGTCAGTAATTAAATCCTTCAGCCTGCTGACAGCCAACATCAATTCTGCTGAAGTGCCCTCAGGCAAGGCAGGCAACACGACAGCTGTGGATTGAAATGTTTCTCCTCCGGTTGTTTAGTCGATATTAAAATGTTGTTGTTGGTGAATCTTTTAATCATCTTAAAACTTTATAGTTTCTGTTCACATTCACGGGAATTTCACGCCGTTTGTTTTATCTCGTGATATAATGTTTTTATCTGTGTCTCATTAAAGGAAAACAAACTCCAGGGACACATTTGTTAAATGATGTTAAAGTTATGTTACATTTTTTTCCCTCTGTACTTTTAGATTTCTATTTCTTAGAAGTCAAAAAGTCAAAGCGATTTCTCTACATATTCTCTATTTTAGTCTAAACTTGACTGCAGGTGATGTTTCCACTTTCTGTGCGACAGCTTCCATCAAGATTTATCTTTGTTTTTAATTCAAATGCTCTAATTAAAAAACAATGTTACCATATTATGTCTAAATGCTGTATAAAGCAGCCTGACTTCTTCTTCCCGGCCGTTCCATCAGTGAACTGATGAATCAACCTGAAGAAGTTCTGCCCTGACGGGTGATTCATGAGAGTTGATTTCCACCTTTGTATCTCACTGAGAAAATTCTGCTTTTTCTTTCTGATAGTGGGGTCAGAGGTCAGAGTCATTGATCAGCACACCTGCAGGAGAGAATGTGCCGGTGCCTCGCTCAAGGACAGATGAACAGAGCCCGGACCAGTCGTCCTTCAGTGAAAAAGTCTCTCTTTTACTCCCTGCTGTTATGCTGTCTGCCTTTAGAGGGAGCACTCATTTGTAATTCTGTCTCCTCTTTTCAAATTGCACGACACACAGTGAAAGGTTTTCGGCTAAACTATAGCCATTAGTAACCCAGAAGCTCCGCTCTGCACGACAGGAGCAAAAAAAACATTCCCTGAATACAGGAAGAAAAGAGCTGGAAAAAAAGACTCTGTGATATTTGAATACAGTACAAACGTATAATGTGTAGTGATTTACTTCGACCTGACTTAGTAAAAAGTACCGTTTAAATTAGGGATGTCCGATATTATGGTTAATCGTCCAAAACACAACCAATATCAACTGATACCGACAGCGCAGCTTCTTCTGTACGAGTTTCTGGCACCAGTATTCAGCGTACAATCGTCTGGAAACATTCCCTGAATACAGGAAGAAAAGAGCTGGAAAAAAAGACTCTGTGATATTTGAATACAGTACAAACGTATAATGTGTAGTGATTTACTTCGACCTGACTTAGTAAAAAGTACCGTTTAAATTAGGGATGTCCGATATTATGGTTAATCGTCCAAAACACAACCAATATCAACTGATACCGACAGCTAATATCGTAGGACGTCTCTAGTTTCAATAGTAAATATCTGGGGTTTTTTTTTGTGCTGCCTGAATCATACATACTGGTGATATTTCAAATCTGGAAAAATGAAGAGCCTCACTGACTCACGACTGCCGGTTCATTTCACGTCTTTATGTCACTGCGTCCATCCATACCTTATTAGTTCCACGGTCTCAGAGTACATGGTGTAGGGTGATTTGGCCTCCAGCGGATCTCGCTCCATTGCGTTTCCACACTCTATGAAGGAGAGCGCTCCGTCGGCGTAGTTCACCGCTTTACCAAATTTGTCCATCTGTGAACGGTGAGCAGGACAGAGGAGAGAGGGACAGAAGTGGAGTGATGAGGAAATACGGAGACAAGAGTCAGAACAAGACGGATCTGAAGAGCGCGGCGGCAGATCTGCAGACGTCTCTCTGAATAATCTTCAGTTAATTTGCAAATCCCCAGACGAATCTCACAGAGAGAGAGAGCATGAGCATAAGATAAATAATGAGGTAAATAAATCTCATTTTATTGTTCAGATGGGATCAGATGATTCTGGTGATGTTGTATAATCTTGCAGACATAATCGGTCCTTGAAAGCAGCATTTCCTTGGAGATGAATTGTGCAATAAATAACACACAATGACACACTCTAGTCTTTTAGATGGAATAATGTTTCACTCCACAGGTACGCGCTATGTACACACACACATACACACACACACGAGCTACAACAACAGCAGCATCTGAAAACACTACTAACTTCCTTTGTTTATTAACTAGGGCTGTCGAAATGACCATTTTACTGTAACTGTGATTAATTCATTGGTGAAATTAGTCCGAGTTTTTTTTTTTTAAATTCATTTAGCAAATGGGCCGAAGCCATATTTCCACCAGCCAACCACTGCTCTAATAAACAGTTTATCCAAATGCTGTTATTTACACACACTGTGGTAAAAAAGTTTTCTTTTTTTCACTAAAGCACCTTGAGCTTAAAATACCATCGTCGTACCGACCAGTGGCGGTAAATAAGTCTAGGACCGACGCAGTTGTCAGACGGATTGTCAGGGACTTCATCAACTCTGCGTTTTTGTCATTTTTGTAAATGAATCATGACTAATTGATCATTTGAGATGAATCCACTGCTAGGTAAATAATTCCTTTGACAGCCTTGATTTAAACATCTTCAAATATGAACTCCTGTGGAATGTATTCATGGTGTGGCAACATCTGCAGCTGCCAACTCGTGCTGTGCGAAGGCTAAAGAGCTGATGTGCGTCTGCCAAAATGGCCACTTACAGAATCCTAACCTACAGCAGGTGCACCACATATTCAATCAAAGACTTGTGTGAGCAGGAAGCTGGCCGCTGCGGTTCATGCAGCAGATGTTACAAAAACTGACGGCTCGTATTACGACTCTCAACATCACATAACGTCTTTGGTCATATTTGGTGAATCTCAAATAGTCACAATGATCACAATTAATTGCAATCAATTAGTCATGATTCGTCAGGATATTAGTTTACAACAAGTTATCATGGCTGATGTTTATTATTCGTGATTTATTAGGATCACGATTAATTATGATCCATCATGAATACCGTATTTTCTTGAGTATAAGTCGCACCAGCCAAAAAATGTATAATGAAGAAGAAAAAATCTAATATAAGTGGCTCTGGAAGATAAGTCGCAGCAGTGCCCTCTAGTGACTGTCAGTTAAAAAATAATGATGTACATGTACATTTTCAGTGGTACAGGAGTAGCAGATACTGGTACACATTTCTAGAGTGCCCTCTAGTGGCTGTATGTGTGAAAATAAGAAACATATTTTAATATATAAGTTGCACCTGAGTATAAGACGCAAACCCAGCCAAAGGATGAAAAAAAAAGTGTGATTTATAGTCTGGAAAATACGGTAATTGTGAAGCATCAGATTAAAAATGTTGATTAATGTTTAATTGCGGTGACTCACCAAAGCGTCGGCCTTGTGCTTCAGCCTCTTGGCCTCCTGCATGTAGTAATCTGCACTGTGGACCCTGGGAACGGCAGAGGCGGAACAAAGAAAGGCACACATGTTTACATCAACACATTATTGATTTACATAATGAGTGGCTCCGAGGAGCTGCAGTGTGTGGTGTTCACACCTCGGGCTAAGTATAACCTTAGTACAACAGCAGAACACGTTGTTCCATAAATATTACACAGTCCCTGTGGGACAGACAATCATGAGATGCATGATCTTCTCAGGTTTGAACACAGTGCAGACGCTGGTGGTGGTGGTGGTGGTGGTGGTGGTGGGGGTATTTACAGCTACTCCTACAGCACTTCGCCAAAAAAAAGCCCCCACCTCGGAGTGCCAATTACTGAGCTGTCAACACGGACCGTCCTAATCCGGAATATCTGAGGTTTATCTTCGTTTTAGGAGAAAAATAATGTGAATAAATGTGATTAAAAAATACAATGTACAACATTGACTCCTCATCACTGTGGACTCTCGTTTGTGTTCCGGCCTAAAATGATCTTCCAGTGAGTTTCACACAGGTGGAAACAGCCTGAAAAGCACTCGTACCGACAACTCCACTGTAATCACAGAGATGGCTGTTAATTACCTCCACCGTGACCCAATCTAAAATCCCGTCGACCCCGGCCGAACTCCAACACCAGGCAGTGGCGGCTGCATGATGTTCTGCCAATTAGTGAAGGAGAGGAATGTTCTGCTCTCCAAGAACACGTTCCATTTATAAAAGACGCCCACGATGATCCTCTCGCTGACTTCAAACAGGTGATGTGACTCAGTCAGTGGTAAATAAAATTACGGTTCAGTAATTCTTTCCCGCCAACCGTGGCAATCATCAAAAATATCGAAAATTAAATCACTTTGACCTGCTGGGACCCGCATGCAATAACCTCATGTCCCCCGAGAGGGACCCGCCCCCACATTGGGAACCACTGATATAAAAAATCCATCTTCAATCTCAAACTAAAGCCTTGTGAATATTGTCATTAGCAGAAGTATTTTAGCACTTCATGGTGGTTGGTAATACAAATATTTACACACTTCCTGTACGACAGAGGAGTGAAGTATGAGAAGTACTGTAGTATGTTCACATACGTGTCACAGAACGTCAGCCGGGGCCTGCGAGGTTCTGCCGGATCCATCAGCGGTTCTGACCAAACGTCGGAGTCTGACTGTCCGTTGGCATGGAAACCATCTCCACAGGCCTTCTCACACGGATGATCCATTTCCTGCAGTGAGAAGACGGTGAAATTCCTCCTTGTAAAAGTATTAATTAATATCACGGTGTGTGACTTCCATCCGTCACTTCTTACAGCTTTCATTCACAGTGATGAATTCACCCGTGGACTTACAGCGGGCTGGGGATTTAATTTGGCTTTTATGAACGAGACGTGCCGCAAGTGGCATTAATGTAGTTCAGCAGTCACGCCTGTGATACTCTGGTAATTTGTTCTTTCTCCACTGGCCTTTGTACTTTTGTGAGCGAGTAAATATCTGTCAGAAATACTGCAATATCTACTCAGAATAATCAGAAAAAGAAGGAAGAATGTAGGTTTTTTTGCAAATCTTAAGCGTTGACTCCACCAGGGTATTCTTGTATTTTCTTTTTACCTTAATGTGGTTTATATATGAGATTATAATAGAATTACTTGATAAATAAAATAAAATAAAAAAAAGTAAATTTTTCCCGTTCACAACAGAAACCAATTAGAGAAATTAGGTGACGGACACTTACGCTGCCATTTCTTGTGACATGTGACGACACCTTGGCTTCACCTCTCCTGTGCCTGTGGCTGGAGGAGGACGAGGCAGATGAGGCAGAGCAGGGCAGGGTCCCTGTGTCGCCGCCCTCCTGGTTCAGAGAGGTACCGTTGTCACAGGTTCGTTTGCGGGGCGGCTCATCAGACAGGGGGGACAGCAGGGGAGGTAGGAGCTTCTCGTTGCGTCGCCGCTTCCTGTTCAGAGAGCTGTGAGACGGATACACACACAAACACACACACTTTTTACCCAATTATTTTCTCATTTTAATCTGATGTTCAGCACAAGCTGAAGATGTGGATTCAACAATCCAGGTTTGCAAGCTAACAGGCTAATGAACACCAATAGCAGCAGGGACAGTTATTAGTGATGTAATGAAGACATAACGATGCATCGTAAATCGATTAGTGATTCGATTAGCTTTGTTTTTGTTTTGTTTTTTTAAATAAAAATTCCTTGAACCAAATATAAAGAGCTTTAAACTGATTCCGAGCTCCCACTTGAATATGGGCAAAAACAATGTGCATAAACATTCCGTCGGTAGTTCGTGCCTCTCCACACAGGGACATCAGCGCCTCACTGTTATTATTCCATTATTATTCCATTATAGCAGTTGCTAAATGATATTTTCCTCGTAGAACCGCCGTCCCTGCCGGAGCGTCGGCTTCCTTATCGTGGCTCCTGTGACTCATTGTGTTTGCACCACAACATTTAATATTTTCATATTTTTTTTGCCTCTGCCGCGAAACTCTGGGGGTTTGATGCAGGGAGAAAAGTTGCTGAGCGTGCAGAACAACACCCGGGGCCCCGACATTAGTGATAATATACAAAACCAGGGAGACAAAGACTAATTAGTTTGTGTGTGCATCCGTGTGTGTGAGTGAGTGTGTGTGCGTGCCTTTGTGAGCAGCATAATTGATGTGTACTGCTCTGTTTGTGTGCATGACTATGCTAATTTTGTGCAACAGCGTGTGTAGCTCCTCAGTGGATGCCGGTGTGTGCGTGCGTGCATGTGTGTGTGTAAAAACTGTACGAGAACCGTCCTTGGTCTTCTAACTGGATAATGAGTTCAAGAATTTATGGCACTGCTGCAAAAAAAAAAAATGACCAGGGTATATCTGCCAAATATTTCTCTGTAATAAATTTGCTGGGACAGGAACGACACTGGGAATTATTTAAAGATTTTTGGCGTCCATACCTGAGCCGTGCCACACTGGTTTTTACCTTGTTTAACATTTTGGTGCCGTTCAGAGCTGGAAATCAGGAATTCACTCTGATACATGCTAAGATGTTATTTATACACATTTGGCTCATTCTCCTGAAATCTTGGCCTAAAACTGTGTCGCGGAGGATATAGAACATTAGCATGTTTTGCTAGCAAAAGAGAAGCCGTGACGACTAAGCAAATCTTTTACTACATGAAACTAAATAAACATTATCAAAGTCTATTTTTCTTAAAAAAAAAAAAATCAAACATTTTCTAAATGTGAAAAATTACCTGTATCGGTAATGATAATTAATACTGTTGCGGAGGATGAGAACTTCATAAACGCTTCATTTTACGCCCCCCCCCCCGGCACCTATTTGAGAAGTACTGAATTTTTAAGTTACTGCTCATGTTTCCAGGTGTTTTCGTGACAGTCACGACTCAAACAGCTCATCTCTGTCAGCCCTAATTATAAACAGTTTTTTTTTTTTTTTACCAGGTGACAGATATAATCCAAAGGTGAGAACTGGAGGAGAGGAGTCTGAGAGTGATTTTATCACCTCGTTCAGAGCCTCCATAAAAAGACTCCCAGGTGACAAACAGACGACTGGTACACGGCGCCACAGCTTTAACACCAGCTCATTCCGGCAGTTTCTCTAGGGCTGAGACGCTCTGGTTCATTCTTGACAACAGGCTGAAAAGTCTATTTGAAATCTTTCACACTGGACTCTTCAATTCACACAGTGTCATCCGTGTGTCGCAGACGGACTGAGAGCCTCTTAATAACTTCATCATCTTATTGAAGCCTCTTAAAGAGACTACGCTGGACCAGAGACAAACGTCTCGGTTTGTGACGGAAGTGAAAGATGAAGCTGGAGGCGGAGCCTGAAGTTGAGGAGGCTGCAATGACCGAGTGATGAATGATTCTGTTTAGTTTTTAAACTAAATGATATTCATCAGGGGTGTGTACGGGCAAGAATCTGACGATACGATACGTATCATGATACAGGGGCAACTATACGATATATTATATTTTTTTAATTAATTTTTTTTTTAATTTAATTGTAGTCCACGGGCTGGATTGAACTCAGTAGCGCAACCGTCAGGTGTGAACTGCACAGTGATTCCAGATTATATTTTTTTAATTAATTTTTTTTTAAAATTTAATTGTAGTCCACTGGCTGGATTTAACTCAGTGGCGACACCGTCAGGTGTGAACTGCACATGTGATTCCAAACCGATAAGTTCAAGTGAAGCAGAACGAACGTGATTTTAAAAAAGAAAAAAACTGCAGCGTCACTTACTCTGCAGCGTTGTTCTTGTGGTTGTGGATTGGAGAGATGCATGGTGGGAGGAGCTGACAGTCTTTGTCCAGTCGCAGCTTCTTACTCCCGTTGACCGGTGACTCACTGTGCTCCGACTGGGAATTCAGACAGACGGGTTAGAAACAGGAAGAAAGGGCGGGTTCAAATGAAAAAAGAAACACAAATGTGTCGGTTTGAATCCCACCTTGTGTTTCCTCTTGTTCTTGCTGGTGCGTTTGTCCGTGGACACCATCACACTCCCTGCTGCTTGTCTCCTGTGTTTACTCTCTGTCTCCCCTCTCTCCGTCCTCCCAGCCAACCTGGGAAGACTCTGCTCCTGGACAGGGGGGTTTTCCAGGAGACCTGGTCCCAGACACACCTTGTCTCTGTCCCGTACCATCATCATCTTGCCGTCCCTCTCCCCGGGACCTAATCTGTCTCTGTCTTCTCTCTCCGTCTGCCTGTCTCTCTCTGCCGTCCTGTCTTTGTCTCCCTGTCTGTCACCGTCTGGCAGCAGTTGCTCATTTTCTTCATCCTGTCTCTCAGCCTTGGTGAACCTGTGTCTCTCTCTGAGACCGAGCCACTCTCTGTCCTCCGGCTTCTGCTGCCTGTCTCTCTCAGCAGCACCTGTCCTCACCCCCTGCCTCTCCCTGTCTCTCCCTTCACTCCCCTCCCCGTCTGTGAGGGCCGCCCTCGGCCTCTCGTCCAAACCCGTGGCAGGAACTCTGCTCAGCAAACTGAGGTCAATTTTCACCCACAGATTCTGTCTCTCCTCATACTCCCTCAGGGGGGACAGCGGGACCTCGTGCACCAAGGTGGGAGGCGGAGACATGGGCTCCAGGTCCTTACACTGTCCCCCTGACCCTCCGGGATCGGGGACAGACACGCCAAAGGAGCCGCTGATGTTGCTAATGCTCCGGGAGTTACAGCCACTACTGCCGCCGTTGGTCCCACCGTTGATCTCACTGTTAGTGCTGCTGCTACCATTAGGGGGCGCATTAGCGCCATCTTTGACCCGCAGTCCTTTCCCGCCAAACGTCCCCAGACTTCCTAGAGTTCCAGCAGAGCCCAGACATGTGAGGAGAGGCATGTGCATGTGGGCGCCGGACAGAGTCTGTGTGTTGATGGCCGCACGTGTCGTCTGTGGCAGAGCGGAGATTTTAATGGCCTCCTCCGACTCCGACTGACACTCGGAGGAGGACGACGACGAGGAGTCCGTCTCGATGAATTCCCGGGACTTGGGTGTGAGTCTGGTGTTCGGACCTCTGTGTTTTCTTTTATCCTGCTGTATGGACAAAGAAAAAAAACAAGACAAAAGAATAAGGTTTAGACTAGGGATTATGAACCTGTGGCCCGTGGGCCAGATTCAGTCCACTAAACTGTCCAATCCGGCGCACGACTGAATTCCAAAATAAACATTCTAGACAAAAATGTGAAAAAAAAGTTCTTGCCAAAACACAGTTGGTGACGCCTGTGTTAGATTATTATTACTGCTGCTTTTTTTTGTACATTTTAATCAATTTCATAAACAAAATATTTATTGTGCTACAGAGTGGAGTGTGTTCCACTTCAAATGCAGAGTTCTCATCCCGGCCATGTGTGTAAAATCACCAGCAGAAATCAAGCATGGGAGCAGATGCAGCAGTGAAAACACTCCTAATGTTCCCAGCAAAGTCTGCTCACTTGGCACTTACCAGGCAACAGTTTTCTAATGTTTCTGGAGTCGCTCCAGCGCATGTTGCCATCTGCAGACGTCCATTCTCAATAAAAGCAACGCCGTGCTTTGGTGAAAAACAAAAAAAAAAACCCGGCGTCTGTGTGTCACGTTAATTTTTGCTGGGGGGCAGTAGCGTTTTATTTTCTTAAGTCTTTCTTCAGGCCTGTTGACTGGAAGGCTCTGTTGACATTAACATAAGCCGTCCTGCCAGCTGCTCTGCACAGCTACACGTTGGCACAGCATCAAATGTTGTGATGGCACCCGCAGCACAGGCTGCAGATGTAAACTTCCCACCTTGGATCCCGGATCATTCTGGAAAAGGTTATGTCGAGTAAGTGCAGTTTTTGTTGGCATCGAATGTTTGGTTTGATATGATTCTTTGTTTTTATCAGGACAGAACGCCGTGAATGATGAAGGGTGAGAGTTCTGACCGTCAGAGTTTTCTCTTTTGTCCTCACATCAGGTCGTTGCTAAATTTAATTTATCAGAAGTACTGGAGCAGGAATTGTATTTAAAATGTCCTAATGTTGAAAAATCGCCCAAGTTTGAATGATATCAGCAGTGGGTTCTGCTCTGGGAAAAATAAAAAATCGCCCAAGTTTGAATGATATCAGCGGTGGGTGAAGCTTGAAAAATGAATTCATCATCAGTTAAAATGTAAAAAACAGCCTAATTACCAAACTAACAACGGGCTGTATTTTTGTCCAAATCTTCCTCCAAATGTCAAGTACAAAGAAAGAAAATACTCTTAGGAATTAAAGAAAAAACAAAAAAGATTTAGGAGGTTCCACCTCTGGAACCAGAGTTCGTCCAATCATCATCAAAGAAGCCCAGCTTCCTCACTAACTGAGGTAGAATCTCTGAAAATGTTACAATTTCATTTAATTTATCCAAATTATGTTAATAAAACCAACTGTAGCTGAGCTTCAACAGGTTTAATACACTCCTCTGTATTAAAGTCTTTATATAAGAAAAAAATCAAGCTCAAGTAACTACATGGAATCAGATCGTTTTGAATTTATTTTTTAATTTACCTGATTATTAGGGACGTCCGATATTAACTTTTTGTTGATATCCGATATTGTCCAAACACTTAACATCGATATCAACCAATATTGATAATACAATAAAATAAAATAAGCTACAATGCTGCCACCTAGTGGCTTTCACTTTCATATACAGACGTTTTCCCCCCAAACTATTTTCAGGGCACACATCATTTGTCTAAACCTATGCATTGCGTTATCAGATTTTCATTATTACAGATATTACATAATTATGATAATATCGGCTGACTCATATTATCGGACATCCCTATCGATTAAAATTTGTTTTTTTTTAAAAAAACAACCTGTGGTTTTGTGGCGAACTTGTTGTCGAGTTTTTACGCCATTCGTCGGAACGAGGGGACAAGACTTTCTTAATAAATTTGAAACATTGAAATGAGACGAGATTTTAAAAGTGAGCTTCTCTCGTGATCAAACCTCATTCTTACTCCGGGAGAGACGGAGACGGCAGACTTCAGAGTCAACCATCCGTCTCTTGTCTCTCCATAAAACCCTGACGTGTTGAAGGAAATAGCGGAGTGATTTAGAGACGACATCAAACAGCTTGATAACGGTTTCTCTTCAGTGACACGGGGAGCGACAAAAGTTTTGAATGCATTTGAATACTAAACACGCCACTTTCGTCCCGTGCAGCCGTTTTTATTGGCACAGTTCTCCACGTGAGTTCTTCACCTCCGTGTACTTTTCTCCACAAGACATACTCACAAAAAGTCATTTCAGTATATAAGTGACTTTCCTATTGTTTTTATGACTTTTTTTTCCTCATTTTTTTCCCTCTCCTAATCTTCATAAAACCACCCGGCGTTAAGCCATAAGTTAAAGAAATGAAGGAGAATCTGTTTTTTTCATTCTGTCTTTTCTCTCAGTCTGGATAAAACCAGTCATCGATCATGTGACAACATCTCCTCCGTGACCGTGTGACATGTCACTGTCAGCCTTGAACAACATTTCCAGTCAGACTAAATATCTCCACAGGTTTGTGAGGAACTTCCTCATCACCTGCCACCCCATGGTCACTCACCTGGTTTATACTGACAGCTGGTACTGGTACGGTGGTTTGCTGAAGTGCTGCTGGTGGGGCGACCGTGTTGGTGCTGGAGTTGGCAGTGCTGCGAGGCTCTTTCCTCGGAGCTGGTTTCCCACTGGGGGGTTTGGTTCTGGGTCTCGGGGGGTTCTGGTGCTCCAGGGAAGGGGAAGGCAGCAGATCCTTGTCCCTCACAGCAGGGCTGCTGGAGGGAAAACACACAACATTAAAAACTATCACTACGGAGGTGTGCAGTTTTTAGCCAAATAAATATTACGGCTGCTGGAGTGAGTGTTTGACTGAAAGAAAAAAATCTAAATAAATAAAGTCAGCATGGAATAATTGAAAGCAGCGTGAATTCTGCTCAACTTGTTTATATTTGAAAAAAAAAAAAAGAATCTTAAAAACCAAACGAGGGAGTGACAAGAGTAATCGCTGAGGAAGAGAAGAAAAAGAAGAAAAAAAAGATGATTTTCTTATTAGCCTGATGTCAAAAAAAAAAAGATGATTTTTCTTATTAGCCTGATGTCAAGCTGTGCAGCTGCTTTGCTGATCCTTCGTGTCGGAGTGAAGAGTCATCACAGCTGATATGATCGCTGGCCAACTGCCAGAAGATACTGATCTGATCTGTACTGTACTGTACTGTACTGTAGTAGCAAGTATTCGTCTCTGTTCACCTTTTAAAATAAATGTAAAATACGTATTTTTTTATGTATTTTAAAATACGTAAAAAGCGACATACAGGTTTGGTATTTTATATTAGAAGAAGAAGATGAATAAGTTTCAACTGCACTATATTTTGCAATACAAAAACCAATACTACTTCCTGACACTTTCTATATTTAGTTATAATTTTCTTTTTACAATTTTTGTTAATTAAATCTATGCATTTCAGATATTTAGAGTAGTACTAGTAGTATTTGTTTAAATATCTGATCCTGAAATTTTGACCATTATTTGACCAATACTGATCCAGAGTATCAGACTGAGCCATCGCTAATACAGAGATACAGTGTACGGTGGTGTGATGTCGCTAATACAGAGATACAGTGTACGGTAGTGTGACATCACTGACCTTTCTTTCTGTTGTATTTGACCAGTAGCATGAATTAATATAATGCAATCAGATAAAACTGAAACGACTCAGTATTTTTTGTTATATTAAGGAATGCTGATTTTTCTTGATTAATCGTGGCCGATTAAACTTTCACCTTATTTGACAGCTCTATTAAATATATGACCGTCTCTTCTTTTACCTGTGCTGGACGCTTCTATTACACGTCTGGCTCTGATTTTCCTCCACACTGTTTGACCTCTCTGTCCGTCTGGGCTGTTTTTTCCCCGTGGTGTTCCTCCTCGGAGCTGCGACCTCCGGTCCTGACAGCAGAGCCGGCGACAGCCTTATCTTGGACCTCTGTCCCTCCCCGGGGGCCTTCTGGCTGATCTTGGCCTTGGCCTTCTCTCTACCCAAGCTGCAGAGGGGGTGGGACAGGGGGTAGGAGGAGGGGTGGGGGGGGCAAATAATGATTTTTCTTTCACGCCTTTTACATGGAGTGACATTTTTTTGTCCGACGCTGCCAACCTTGTGTTCCTGCACCTTTTTATGTGTCACTAACTCATTCATTCAGATATCTGTACGGTGGTTACTTTGGCAAAAGTTTAAATAAGTACCAGAAGGCTCCCCGCGTGTCCTTGTGTTCCACCGTCGACACAGCTGCAGCTGGGGCGCTGCCCGGCACACAGGGCTTGGACTTGGCAGCCGTAGCCACTCCAGCTGCTTCATTCCCTGGAGAAAAAGTCTCTGGAGCCGGGTTGACGGAGCCTACGGCGGTTCAACACATCACCAGAATTACACACTGTAACGACGGCACAGTTACTGCGAGACAAACCGTCTACATCTGCAGTACCGACCTGCGCCATGGGGTTCTGGCTGAGTGGAAACCAGAGGTTTGGTCTGGGCCTGGACCTTGTTCAACCAGCTGTCCAGCTGCCACTTGTTTGTGGACTGAGGCTCGGGCTGGACGGGCAGAAAGATTACAGAGTGAAGCAGAAGTAAATGAAGGGAATAACAACACAATTACAGAGTACCAGAGGTCAGAGTACTGGGTGTACTCGCAGTACAGGGAATAAAAAAGGGCAGCTGGAGTACACATAACTCTGAGGAAAAAAACATGTGCATGTTATTACAACTAAATGAATAATTGGGGGGGAAAAAGGCAGCTAACTGTTGGGGTACTGGGGCAGAGTGGGGCAGAGTGGGGCAGAGTGGGGCAGAGTGGGGCATTTACAGTGGTGGCATTTACAGCCTGTTGCCTCTGATGGGCAGGTCAGGCCTTTGGCTGCGTTTCAACATTTATGCAAAATAATAATCGTTGACGTTTCAAGAATCAGTCACTAAAGAAAATACAAACACGATTCTGAAACGTAGAGCATTTAAAAAGCTGCTCCGTGGTCAGAGGTTTGAATCCCTCTGGGTAAATTCACTGGTTTTGAACCTGAAATGATTGCCCTGGTTTGGCAAAGAAGAAACAGATTTATTCTAAAGGTTGGTTTTGAATTTGAACGTGTTGTTATTAGTTATTAGTTTTATTAGCAGGACATTCACACGACTGTTATCACAAACAACGACACACACACACACACACATCGCCCCACCTCAGGTGTGTTTGTGCGGGACGCCCGGTTGTACTCGCTGTCGCTGGAACTGCTCTCTGATTCGTCCGTGTCCGACTCGGAGCTGCTCTCTGATTCGCTACTGCTTCCAGACGCAGCACTTTTGGAGGAAGAAGAAGAAAATGACAAAGAGAGACTGGAATTAGAATTTTTTTTTTTTACTAATTCAATAAAGTAACCAACGGAATATAATTAACCGCAGCAGTTTGCAGCAGTTTGCAGCAGTTTGTTGGATGGTTTTCTCCCCTGGTATCTGACTGCTCTGTGCTGCTGGTCATCCATCCTCTCTGTACAACTTTAAATTGCCTCCTAGAAGCAACACGCGCGCTCGTCCCTTTCAACTTAGGAATACCATGAGCACAGAGAAACTGAGTTTGTGTATCTGTGTGTGTGTGTGTGTGTGTGTGTGTGTGTGTTGCCTCAGGAACAGTTGATGGATTTAATGCTTGACTGCTCACACAGATTGGTGTCTGCTGTGATGGCTGCCTTGAACTGAAATTACATGAGCTTGTGCATGCACACACACACACACACACACACACGCAGATACACAAAGTCATACGCACACATGCACACACTGTGACAAATACTGTATAACTGCAGTTCGTGCCCGGTTTTCCCACTTCTGTCATCACTCATTTTCTTTCCTCTCTGTTTTGTCTCTTTCTCTCAGTTTCAATTAAAATGTTCACACCACTCTGTCCCATTAGCATCTCAGCGTTAGCGCCGTGTTAAAAATCGCATTTTATGCGAAAAACAAATTGGGGATTTTACACATTACATTTTGTGGGCTTTTAATAAAATGGAAACAACGTCAATAACTTTCTGTTCAGTTTTTTTTTCTTCTATTAAACACGTTACCATGGTTACCCTGCAGCTTTCAATCACAATGAGTTTTTGTTTTTTATAATTAATGTTCCTGGCAGTCGGAACCACACATCCTGGGCCTCCTGTCTCATCGGCACCTCGACAACAAACCCTCTCGCCGCCCTCCACCGCGGAGCCTCGGCCCAGCCAGTGTCGGCCAACCCTGTGCTGCCCGGCACCACCGCTGACATCCGCCCTGTCTGTTCCAGCTGGAAGTCAAGCCAAGGTTCAGTCAGATTTACAAGTCTGTCCTGCCTCCACCCAGAAGACCCTGTCGGCGCCCCCTGCTGCCCAACAATCTGTTCCTCCGACAACCTGCGGCGCTCCTCTGGCCGACTGTTCACCCAGTGTCTGACCTCTGACCTCTGGAGAGAAACCATCAGAGCTGCTGGTCTGATGGGTGACGTCCAGGGAGGACGGTGTCCTGCTGCTGTTGGACCAAACTGTCTGAGGACTTTGGTAAAGATGGCCGACAGATGCTGCTAACAGAGGTAATCTGCAGCTGCATCAGCTTTAATGCCCCTCGTTTGCCTTCAAACCATCGTTTGATGGGTGAGTACAAAGAGCACGAGGTTTAGGTTAGTCAGCAGCAGCAGCAGCAGCAGCAGCAGCAGCAGCAGCAGATCAGTCTGAGTGGCAGAAATGACTGATGACTCTTTTTGATTCCAGTCCAAACACGGAGTCGGACCAGACTCTCACACCACCACAACATTCCGTTCTCCTGTGAAAACGACAACTAACCGAGGAACGGTGTGAGCCAACATCTCACACGGAGTGTGCCATTGTTAGGACGCACATTACTGCTTATTGTGTGCACTTTCAAAAACAAACAGAACAGAAGAAAATACTCATACTGAGTCATTTGATCAAAGGCTGAAATAATCCCCAGATATGTGAGTCATTTAGGCCACGGAGGACGTAACACTGACGTTAGCGGACACATTTTACAAGCTGCTTGTAAATGTCAGCGTCTTATTTAAACACCATGTACCAATCAAGTTTGATTAAAGTTCCACATTCAAACAGTCACACTCATCTCTTCCCTCTTTACGTTTCTTCATCCCCAGACGCAGGTGTAGAAAACCAACAAAGAGATCAGTCATCACAGGAAACTCCGTCCATGTTTGTTTTACTCATGCTCCAAATTCCCACGGCGCCTATTAACCCTGGGCAGCTTATGCAGAAATTTCATGTCCTTGAAAACATTTCTGTCTAAAACAATTAGTGGGAGATTAATGATGTCACCTCCAGGAGGCAAGGTGAGGAGTTATTTTAGTGTGGAACGTCTTCTGGGAGGATAAAAACTGTGATTCTACAGAAAAAAAAAAAAAATCTCACAAGTTGACAGGTTTGGTGGCACAGCTCTACAGTTTTAGGTCAGTTTGGAGCTTCATTTATCTCCTAACACCGGGTCACAGGGTGAGGACGCGTCACCCGGTCCATCACATAAAGAGACTGCTGACCGTTCACACTCACATTCACGCCTGTGGTCTTTTTAGAGTGAAAAGTCTAATATAGTGTTTTTCAAGCTAAGGGTCACGACCCCATGTGGGGTCGCCTGGAATACAAACAGGGTCGCCTGAAATGTCTAGTAATCGATAATTTGAAGTAAACCACATGGTTACAGGATCTGGCTTCAGGTTGAAAGATTGCTGGTTCAAATCCCATGACCAGCAGGGCCATGTTGTGTCTCCTGCTTTTGGAGCACTGTAGTCCACAGACGACTTCAATCAGTGTTTTTCAACCTTGGGGTCACGCCCCCACGTGGGGTCGCCTGGAATACAAACAGGGTCGCCTGAAATGTCTAGTAATCGATAATTATTAGGAAAGAATTACTGATTTAAAAAAAAAAATGTTTAGACTTATTATTATGCTGAGCTGCTGCATCTTGATTGGTCCATCTTGATTAGCCCTCTCTAGAGTACAGTGCGTTCCTGTACTCAGTCCATGACAAATACAGTTAACTAGTGACTTTATTATGTTCCCTTTCCAACAGCTAGGGTACATCAGCGCTGCATCTGTGACGATGCAATCTGTCAACAGGAAGTGAACAACAGGAAGTGAACTTCCAGGAGACACAAGACCTTTGGAGATTTCCATTGGTTTTTTCACTGGAAACTTGAACCGCTTCACGGCTAAAGACGCTGGAAGAAGTGCTTTTGAGCCAGATAATCAGCAGCCGGCTGAGACAGAGGCAGAGACACGGTGTGACGCAGCACCATGACGCCCAGGAACAGGTAAATATAGATTCTTAAAATAGCTAAAGACCCCGGTGGAGAGGCGCGGCGTTGTAACAGTATTCCAGGGCTGTGAAGAGCAGAGTGGCTGCCATCTGGGCTCAGTTCATCTGTCATCTTATCATTCGCCTTCAGCTCACTGCTCGTGTCCTCCACTTGGCAGAGCTCGCTGCCGCACAGCTGGCTGTATAATCTCCCTCTCTCTCTCTCTCTCTGTGTGCGTCTATGTCTCTCTGTCACTCACGTTAGTGTGTAACCGCAACTGCGGTGTGTGCACGTGTGTCTGCAGGCCAATCTGCACAAGTGCTCATTTGTTTCACTCTGGGTTGGTGAAAACATATGATTTGTAAACCATGGAATATATACATATATATGTGCAGTAAATATATATATAATAAACTCTGACACTCGTACACTAGTATGCATGTATATTTACATATATGCATATGCCTATGCATATATATATACATATATATACATATATACATATATATACATATATACATATACATATATATGCATAGGAATATGCATATATATGTGATATACATGCATTCTAGTGTACGAGGGTCAGAGTTTATTATATATATATTTACTGCATATATGTTTATATTTAATATATACAGTATTTGATAAATATATATTATATATGCATGTGCATATAAAAGTGTGACAATACATGCATATTATTTATAATAATACAAACATATATATACTGTAAATATATGCATATATTTATATTTATACAGTATATATAAAGATAATGTATTGTGTATTTGATTTTATTGCTTTTCTGTTCGGACTTAAATGGAAGATATGACAAAAGCAGCTATGCTATTTTTATAAAAAATTTTTTTTTTGAATCACAGAACTTTTTGTATATTCAAACAAACATTTTTTTTTTCATTCTGAGTCCTGAAAAATTACATTCAGGATCCCTGTTATTCGGCAGAGTGTGTGAAAGTGTACATGAGTGTGCCTAAGTGTGTGTGTTGTGTTTGTGTGTGTTGTGCGTCAGCCTGGGGCGTCACTCTGGGGAAGGCTATAACTGGTTTCCATTCCTGCGTTCCCACTGTAACGCTCCGTGGCAGCAGCCGGCGTGACGAGGTTTGAAGGAACGTTTCACATCTGGATTCACGTCACGTTTCATTCACTCGACGGCTGCACCTTCACTGTTCAACCTGTCTGTGATTCCAGGCTGCCACACTGTTGATGTTAGTGAAACAGGCTCTGTTTCAGATTCACAGATCCCCCCCCCACCCCCCCCCCTCCCGTGTTCTGTTGGGTTCTACCTGTTGTTCTTGTGGTGCTGCCAGATCAGAACTTAATCACTTTTACCCCAAACTTAAACCTACTCCTCCAGACATCGCCTCCACCTGCTGGGAGAACGATGAGGAGTTAAACTGTAAAAGTTCAAGGGACGCTGTCATCTGACAGTTTAATTGGATTGAAGTAAAAAAAAAAATTAAAATTTCTGAAATAAAAATGAGCTTAAAATCTTATCTCTCCAAATTTTAGGTTAATTTAATCTGACGCCTTAACCTTTGACAAAATGGCTGCCAAACAGCCAAAAATCCATTCTCTGAAGAGTCTTCTGTTAAAATAATATATTATGATATTATTTTATTTATTCTCTTTTGATTTATTCAATCATTTTCTGAGTGAGGAAGTCATTATCATGTTGCTCTGTTGTCTTGATTACTGTGAAATTTCCTCCAATAAAAAATTAGATTAATTAGAATAAAATAAAAACTTTTTCACTTTTACTAAATGTCAAAAATACCTTGAAATTTCACGGCCAAATAATTAAATAAACTGCAAATGTAAAACATAAGAATAAATAAATAAAAACATTAAAAAATCATCTTTCTGTGTTCTGGTCCTGACCACACTGAGCAAATCTACTATCACTATAAAAAAAACAATGAATTTTTTAACCTAATTAGCATGGATCCATACTGTATGACTGCAGGCTGTTTGAAGAACAGGGTTGAAACGTTAAAAATAAAAAAACAGAAAACAGAAAAATGTGATGAATTAAAGATAATATAGAAAAGCAGATGGATTCTAGTTGTATAAAATGACAGAGCTGTAACACAGGAATAATCCACTGCAGTGGGACGGATACAGTGGGCGGTGATATTTTGGTGGTGGGGGGGGGTTGTCAGAAAAAAAAAAAAAAAAAAAAAGAAATAGAAAAAAAAAAGAGAGAAAACTCAGAGTGTGGGTGAGAGAGGGAATGTGTGAATGTGTATGAGTGTTACTTTCCATGGGGGATTTAGCCAGTGGATCGCTCACAGCATCACTAAAAACAGCATCTCAGAGTGTGTGAGTGAGTGTGTGTGTGTGAGAGTGTGTGTGTGTGGTGTTTGGTAGATTGGGCTGCACAGTGAATGGGCTCATTAGCGGTAGCAGAGTAACACATGGCCTGAGGCACACACAGACACACGACTCACTCCCTCCCTCCCTCACTCCTGCTCCTCACCCTCCCCAACACACACACACACACAGTCGTACTCCAGACTGGCATGCTAATGTCCTCAGTCTGTGAACACAACGAGTCTCATTTATAAAAGATTCTTATATTCTTCTGCAGCAGCCTGAACACTTTCCAAGCACAAGACAAATGTCTGAGAACTGGATCTGGGAGCCAAAATCAGCTGTTTACATGAATCCTCAGCGCTGCGCCGCGTCCTAACAAATGCAACGTTTCTTCTAATGATTAATTAGGTGACACGTTCCCTCAAGATGTTAACACTCAACCAGGAAACAATAACGGGGCGACTGCACAGTGGTGGAAGATAAATGTGGATGCGTTAAATATTATGAAAATGAGATGTATCATCTGTGGAGCGACGGCGGAGAGCGGGGAGTTATTATGGACAACTGTGAATTTGACGGGATCTCCGTCTGTGGGATTTATCTCTGTCCACACGACAAAACCACAGGAAACACTTCAACAACCTCATCGTTAGGTCGGGTCACGTCGTTAAAGTATCAGACGTCTTCTGAGGAGCCGGATCATCCAGTGATAGTGAACTAGTTAAGACACACCTTTTTGAAACCATCAGCCAAACACTTTAATTACCCTCATTAATTACAGAGTCACAGAGCTCTGAAAATATATAAAAAAAGAACCAAAGAAGAAACACTGGCTTTAACTCTCAGGTGGTGGATATTTCACACACTGACGGGAAAACAAAGGAAAAAGAAAACCGCCTGCACTCTACTAGATATAACTACTAAGCAGCAGCAGCAGCAGCAGCCTCTCTGCTCTGCAGCTGTGCAGTAATGATGGACACACTGTATAAACAAAAACCCCAAAAATTTAACTCTACAATAAATTAAACTGGAAAAAACACGGACAGTTTTTTTAAAAGAAAACATCTGGGTCGTGGACCAGGGACAGGGCCGAGCCACTGCTGAAAGCAGGTCCGTCTCCATGGGACAGCCAGGCTGATAAAAGACATTTTTTTATCCATTAGGTGGCGCTGTGGGGACAGCTGTTTGAATATATTATTTCTTATACCTAATAGTCCAGGCGTCTCTAACCTGTAGCTAAAGTGGCTAATGTAGCTCCTCCCCATAATGAGGCTAATGTTGCTAATGTTGCTCTCCCCGTGCCACTGTCACTCATTACTGTGAACAAATCACTTCTTTATGCTCGGTCTAATTAAATCTACAGGCAGAAGGAGATTAAAAAACACACACAGCTCCACTGGCAGAGAAAACTGTTCAGAGCCGATGGTTTGAGTCAGCGTTCCTGGAACTATTTCGGAGGTGGCTTAAATGTAACCGATATGTTATTTTTAAAAGTAATGCGCCGCGTCGTTACGGCCCTGGAAGCAAGTCTAATTAAAGAGCACGGCGACAGATCTGAATGTGAACAACTTCACTGCAGCGTGTGTGTTCACCACACCATCACTGTTGGGTCTGAACTGGAGGAGAAACAAACGCTAACGAGGTGACGCTGCTTCAAACCATGAACCCAGGTGCAGTGGACCAGACCAGGCTCCTGCTACAGAGCCCTCACTTGAACAGAAACCCCCAAAAACCTCTCAACAGTCCAAACAGATGTGAGTTAATCCACTTACCTGAGGGCAGGGCCTCTGGTTTTACTCTTGTCTGACACCTGTCAACAAACCAACAGAGAAACAGTGATTACTACTACAATCACAAACGTAAATAAAGAAATATTATTTTATACAGTAGAGGAACAAAATTAGAACAAAGACTTAAATAAAATCAAATCCCTCTTCTACATTTACAGCAGACTAAATTTCATGATATTTTTTTTCCTTGAGCAGACTAAATTTCATGATATTTTTTTTTTAAGACAAAGAGTTGTTTTTTTTTTTTCAGCAGACTAAATTTCATGATATTTTTTTCTTGGATCTCATGTCCAATAAGACAAAGAGTTGTTTTTTTTTTTCTCAGGTGCCTTCAGGCCCAGTCTCTCACTATTACGCGACCTTTTGACCTCTCGCTGATCGATTCCCATCAGCGGTCCACAAACTCCTGCTGACATTTTGCTGAGCGTCCAGTTTGCTCTCACCTCTGTCACAACTTATCTCTGTTTCAGCTTCTATTAGTAGAATCAGCAGATTGTTTTTTTTTATTTCCCCTTGTTGTACTTTGCAGTAAAATCAAAGTCAGAGCCAACCGTGTGGCGTCGGACATTGAAGTGGTGCCGTAAAAACTGGACACGAACTCCGCCGAGTCCAGAGGCAAAAAACCCCCACAAAACCTGACATTTTTTTCCCGGCTTTTTTCCATAAGTATCAATAACTTCTCCAAATATATTAAACTGAGCAATTCATAGAATATGAAAAGAAAATAATTCTATGAGCAGTAAATGAAACGGTGTAAAATAAATGCAGTGTAAATGTTAAACTCCACACACTGACTTAGTCCTGAATCATGTTCAAACTAAAAGCCCTGACGTCCTGTTCTCCTCCATTCAATAGTCTCTCATTGAAAGGTCAAAGGTTAATGGGCTTCAATCTAATCCAATCAAAGTCTAACACCCAGGACTCCGTCCCTGCAGATGGTGAGTTTGTTGGAAGTTGGAAGTCTACTGAAACAGAGTACATTATTTTTAAGAGCTTCAAATGTCAAACGATCAGAAAATGTGGTTTTAATAATCAGAACAGCCGTGGATTCATTGTGATCATTTGTGATTAATCACGATTAATCAATATTTCTGTATGTTGTTTTTTTTAAACTGTGACCAATCCAAATGAATTATTAATATGGAAAAATATCTAGAAAAATTTGCAAAGCATCCTGGGAACTGACATGGCTTTTTAAGGTGGGTATGTAAATAACAATAATGTTAATTGACTTCATATCAGGTGGACGGACAGTGGACAATATGAAGTAAAACTCCATTAAAAAAATCAAATCTGATTAATGTTGACAGCACTGTTTAACATAGAATATGAGGGAGAAAAAAAACCCAAACTCTGTCTCTGTCTGTGTCTGTGTCTGTGTCTGTGTCTTATTCACAGGGCTCTGAGTGAGAGCTGGAGTCCTGACCACCGACTCCAGAGTGGTCAGAGTTCTGGACATTGTTCTTCCTCTACTTTTATATAAAGACAAGAGCTTTTAGGGCTTGACTTTGGTCGGACCAAGGTGATCTGTCATCACACGGCAGAGATGAGGACGCAGCAGGCAGGAGCAGAGAGAGAGAGAGAGGGAGGGAGGGAGGGAAGGGGAGAGGGAGGGAGCTGCAGAGGTAATTGGGTTGCTGTTTTTCTGTCAGTTTCTAAAGTCATTAGGAACTGCTCCTCTCTCCCTCGCTCTTACTGTATCTTTTGTTTCCTCCCCCTCCTCACCCTCCTCACCTCCATCTTTCCTTCCTCTGCTCCTCCTTTCAATTCCCTTACCTCCTCCGTCTCTTTGCTCGGTGCCAAAAACATATTCATCATACTCTTCTGCTGCCCTCAGTGCAGCGTGCCACAGAATACTAATGACACTGTCTGTGTGTGTGACTCTGTGTAAGAGAGTGAGACAGAGACAGAGAGAGGAAGGCAGTGTGTGTGTGTGTGTTTGTTGATGTACCTGTGTGTCGTCGACTACAGCTCTGTTAAAGAACACCAGGTTTTTTACAGTCAAAACAAACGTGTTAATCGCGTTAATTCAATCAGATTCAAACGTTTATTCCATTTCTCGACACCAGGTGGAGTGACCCACACTGTGGAGCCAACAATCCCACCCTCCATCCACTTA